TGAAAACCAGGCCATTTTAGATTAAACTGTTTCGCTAGGAGCAAATTTAGTTAAATTTTCTATTGGATTTGGCGATTCTATCCCCGACATAAACAAGCAGTGACGTCATWKTKAATTAGGTCAATTAGGACGCTACCCCTTAGCTAGAGATTCCAAGTTCGAGTACAATCTCCGATAAAGCGCTTTTACGTCTATAGTGGTCCTATTATTGGTTTTTAACTATATTGTACTTTTTGTAGGTGATACCRCTGTCYCAGCGTAGCGGGATGTTAGAATGGTGTGAAGGTACAACACCATTAGGTGATTATCTGATTGGCAAGTTTGGTCGAACCATCGGTGCACATCAGAGACATTATCCTCATGATTGGCAACCCATCGAATGTAGAAGAAAAATGATGGTACGTGAGTAAACTTGTTCCAAGCCGATCTCTGTGAGCCTGACAATCACAGAGTCATGAGCGCAGCAAGTAAAGAAAAAGAGAGAGAGAGAGAATAGAAGTCATGAGAGGTCATGTGGTCCTGGTTGGGCTGCGCGCGTGAAATAATATGTAGACGAAGGACTTTGCGAAAGTCCAGTACGTCATTTATGTGGCTACAACACACTTCACAATAGAATGATTTTACTTGGCCCGTGAAATATACTTGAAYGATAGACCTTCCTCAAGATACGCGGCCGAATACATACATACTAGCCAAAGCCTCGGTTATAGGATATATCTCGGAATATAAGTAGCGTGACTTTTTAACACGTCATACTTGGGGTCTTCGATTGTTCTATCTTCCAATGAGGGAAAAGCTGCTGCAATTAAAATCAATTTCCTAGGCGCTTGAGTAAAGTATATAGGTAACGTGACACTTGCCATGACGTAAGATTTTACACGTCAACCTTGGGGTCTTCGATTCTTCTAATAAGTGAAAAGCTGCTGCAAGAAAAATCAATTTCCTAGGCGCTTGACTGCATCATCTTGGAAAAGTTCTATTAAGGTTGGTTTTCACTTGCGTTGGAACCGGAATGGGAATCAGAATTTAAAGGATCAGAAGGTTTCCATTTTCCTCTGATTCCGACACCGATCCTTATGACAAGTGAAAACTAGAATATCGGAATCGGAAACAGAAGCAGATAACCAATCATAATACTCTTCTCCAGGCTCCCTTCGATGTTAGAAATGCACATCTATCAGTATCAAATCGAGGCTACTGCTTCCTATTCCGCTTATGACGACCAATTTTCACTCCGATTCCGACTCCGATGTCGATGCAAGTGAAAACCAACCTTTAGTGACTTACTTAATTGCCTTGTAACTCCTTTGACGTTCCATTCTTCTTCAGCAAGTTGATCAATACAGAAAAACTAAAGCTGAAATCTATAAGGTAACAATGCTTATGGATATTTTCTTCTTTTTTTTTTGTTTTTGTTTATTCCCTTGTTGCTGTCGTTGTTATTGTTGTTGTTTTGTTGTTGTTGTTGTTGTTTTGTTGTTGTTGTTGTCTTTGTTGTTGTTATTGTTTATGTAGCTAATAGTGTTCATTTTCTAATTCCAGGAAATAACCGATAATTTCCATCCAGTTTTTCGTCATTTCTTCCTTGAGCGGTTTACAGACCCTGCCGTGTGGTTTGAGAAACGACTAGCATATGTCAAGAGCTGTGCCACGTGTTCCATAGGTCAGTCTGTTACGACCCGCCCACACAACTCACTGCAGACACAGCACCTCATGTTTTTGTCATCTGTTTTCAGAATATACCTCTATCACTGCACTGGAAAAATCTATCGATCTGAGAGGTTGGAAATATGTTGGAAGTTTCGACTTCCAACATATTTCCATGCTATGAAAGTTAAAAAACCATGGAAATRTAATGGAAGTCAGCACTTCCATACAATGGAAGTCATGAAAGTGCACGCGTCTTGGGCGTAGTGTTTCCCTATTTCAGGACACGTTTCATTCTCTTTAGGTTAAGATTCTTTATTTGAGTTTTTTTCCGTATTCATGTGTCTTGTCATGCGCAACCGGTAAACAAAGAAATGATACTTCAGGTAATACACGTGTCATTCCCTAGATCTAGAGTTACATTTGTTTGGTTGTGCGTGAGAAGAGAAAATACATGAATATGGATACAACTCATCAGAATAGACCTCTTTGTCTTGGACSTAGTGTTTTCCCATTTCAAACCACGTGTCAKTYCYAAGAGTTCTTTCGCACCTTCTATGAATTACTAGCATGCTAAACACTTTGTTTATCAACAATAATGGACACCTTTTGTTTGTTTATTTTACAGTTGGTTACATTATGGGATTGGGTGATCGTCACGTGCAGAATATTTTAGTTGATTGTAACACTGCAGAGCTCATCCACATCGATCTTGGTGAGAATCGTTTGACTGTATTAAATAGCATTGGAAAGCGGTTCCTCCCTACCCTAGCCTTTCTCCGAGGTRGTAAACATAGTGCATTGTGGTCTAGCTTGGGTACAAACATCCTTGTACGTCATGCCTTATATTGTGTTGATTGTACTAAAGCTAAACTTCAATGCACTCTGTTTATTGAACTCAGAAACGACCTGTGCCTCGATAATGTTAGCCTGCTTTGCAGACTCGATTTTTTTACGCGACTCCGCTGAACCGAGCTGCTAATTAGTTGCCATTATACACGAAATGACGTAATACAATGAAAGCTCCAGTTTGTAATTGTAATTTCATCGTGTTAAAATAAATGCTATTATTATTATTATTATTATTATTATTATTATTATTATTATTATTATTAGAAGCTCTTTTGGAATACCTTTCGAATTGTTATGCAGGAATATATTTGAGGAATTCGCACGAAAAGAAAATATAATATAAACAATGCTTTTGTCGTAAGAAATGTATCTTGTTAGCTTAGATAAACAGGAATAATTCYCCAAAAAATTGTCGTTGGCGAAAACGAATGTTTCGTGTATAATATTTCATCAGAAAAGTCTAATAGAGATAGCTATGGTGATGCCCTGACTTGAMAATAGGTAAAAGGAATATAGTCACATGAATCCCTAATGAATATTTGCTTCTTGTAATAATGTTCCAATTAGGTGTGGCTTTCGAACAAGGTAAAATACTACGCACCCCCGAGACCGTTCCATTCCGTCTAACACGTGACCTRGTRGATGGTATGGGCGTGACAGGGGTGGAGGGGGTGTACAGACGATGCTGTGAGAAAACCATGGAGGTGATGCGGGGATCACAAGAAGCACTCGTCACTATCCTAGAGGTAGGATACCATGCGTATTATTCAAATTCAACTAGTGCATGGTCTATCATCAATGTTGCGTTCTGATTGGATAAGCTACTACGAGGGTATAAGTTATATTACTA